GAGGCGGGGGGGGGAAGGAGTGACTAGTCGATTCAACTATCCGATAAGCATTTGCTTATCAGATAGTCGACTAGTCATTCACATCCCTATTAACTAGGCCGCTAATTTGAACCCTGGAAGATTGACAACGGCAGCTTCGATCTTCCTCTGTGGTGTAGACATACCCTACGAGATTTTTGAAAGGCAATAGGTCCAAGATTATTTCTCAGGAGTGCCCCAAAGGGCCTGTTACAACCAGCCTCAGGAGCCTCTTTCCATGCAACACAATAAGGCTATGTCTAGACTGCAGGCTTCTTTTGAAAGAGCCTCTTTCAAAAGATCGCGTCTAGACTGCAGGCGGATCTTTCGAAAGAGAAATCCGCTTTTTCGAAAGAGAGCACCCAGCGAGTCTGGATGCTCTCTTTCGAAGACGGCCTCTTTACATTGAAGAACGCCTTCTTTCGAAAGAGGAACTTTCGAAAGAAGGCGTTCTTCCTCGTAAATTGAGGTTTACCGCCATCGAAAGAAAAGCCGCGTTCTTTCGAAATAATTTCGAAAGAACGCAGCTTGAGTCTGGACGCAGGGGAAGTTTTTTCGGGAAAAGAGAGATGCAGCAGATTAGATTCTGCAACATGTATTCCTGTCTGTCATGGCAGCCCCCCACTCAGCCTCTCTCTTCCGTCATCAGCGATTTAGATAATGGCATAGAGAGGATGATTATTAAGTTTGCAGATGCTACCAAACTGGGAGGGGTTGCAACTTCTTTGGAGGGTAGGGTCATAATTCAAAATGATCTGGACAAATTGGAGAAATAGTCTGAGGTAAACAGGATGAAGTTTAATAAAGACAAATACAAAGTGCTCCATTTAAGAAGGAACAATCAGTTTCACACATACAGAATGGGAAGCGGCTGTCTAGGAAGGAGTACAGCAGAAAGGGATCTTGGGGTTAAGTGGGCCACAAGCTAAATATGAGTCAACAGTGTGATGCTGTTGCAAAAAAAGCAAACATGATTCTAGGATGTATTAACAGGTGTGTTGTGAGCAAGGCACGAGAAGTCATTCTTCCACTCTACTCTGCACTGATTAGGCCTCAGTTGGAGTACTGTGTCCAGTTCTGGGCACCACATTTCAAGAGAGATGTGGAGAAACTGGAGAAGGTCCAAAGAAGAGCAACAAGAATGTTTAAACATGACTTATGAGGGAAGACAAAGAACTGGGCTTGTTTAGTTTAGAAAAGAAAAGACTGAGAGGGGACATGATAGCCATTTTCAAGTATATAAAAGGGTGTTACAAGGCGGAGAGATAAAAATAATCTCCTTAGCCTCTGGTGATAGGACAAGAAACAATGGGCTTGAATTGCAGCAAGAGAGGTTTACGTTGGACATTAGGAAAAGCTTCCTAATGGTCACTGTGGTTAAACACTGGAATAAGCTACCTAGGGAGGTTGTGGAATCTGCATCACTGGAGATATTTAAGAGCAGGTCGGATAGACATCTATCAGGGATGATCTAGATAGTGCTTGGTTCTGCCGTGAGGGCAGGGGACTGAACTCAATGTCCTCTCGACATCCCTTCCCGTTCTAGTATTCTATGATTCTGCTATTCAGGGTGTTTGTGTGTGTCACTGGGCATAGCTTGTGGTTTTCTGAGTGAATCACAGGGCACTTAGCTCAATCCCTACGCCTTCCTGTCCTCATAGGCTGCTCTTCTCTGTACCCCAAGCTCTGGTTTCACAGACACTGACTGTGTTCTCCATGCCCCCTCTTGCAGCCTAAACTACAGCATGCAAGCTCTGGCTGGAATACACATCAGCTGGGGAACGGTTGGCTGGGGAGGGCAGAGTTAAGAGCTGAATGCTCCTTTCCAAGGACCAGCTGTTCCCAGGGCACCAGATTAATTAGTGAATGTTTGGAGAAAGCTTTGAATGGGGACCATTCTATAGAAATTCTTAGCAGTACGTATTTTTATTATTGGCTGAGGACAAAGATTGTTTATTCAGCTCCAGCAACAGCTGTAACAAGAGATCCCAGGTCTTATGCTTGATTCACCCTTTTATTTACACATATACACGCCCCCTTATAGATAATTAACACTATCCTTCCTCATAGCCTTAGCTGTCAAGTCAAGCCAATAAGAGATGGAAATAATATACCAGGCAGCTTTGCCTATTGGATACAGCATGGAACTGAGGTTCAGGACTTCTGCGTTCCATCCCTGGCTCCTTCGCCAGTTTGCTGTAAAACTTTGGGAAAGTCATTTAGTCTTTCTGCGCCTCATTTCCTTTCTCTCTAACATGGAGGTAACAACACTGATTTGCCTGAGAAAGGTATTATCAAGATGTGCTTCAAGATCCATGAATTTAATGGTTCATCACTGACATCAATATACTGTTCTCACTTTTCATCTGAAAACTGTGTGAGATCACAGAGCATCAGCTATTGCCACTGGCCAAAGCAGAAGCCTATGGATTACCTTTCCTTTCCCCCTTTTGTAGAACTTCCCCTCCCATACAACAAAGCATTTAAGCACATTAAACAGATGCCTATCTCCCACTGAACTCAGGTTTAAAAGGTGAGCACTTTAAGTACTTTGCTGAATTAGCACCTTCCAGAAGTTCAGTAGATCATTTGTCCATCCCAAAACAGTCCTTTCACTTCCATCTGGGCTACTCCCATCATAAAACTTTCCTGTGGGGTGTCTCTCCACTATAATTTTATTTACGTTAATGGGATACGCACAAATGGCCACATTCAGGCCTCGTGGCAAATGAACACAACTTCATGAACTTCAGTGCAAATTCATCTGCATATAACCAATGTGAAATTTTCCCGTGCTACATGTATATAGTCCAACCCACCCACTTGCCCTCTTCCTTAGAATACTGAATGAGAGCTCAAGAGTAATGGAATTGGTCCTGCCTAGAGCAGGGGGCTGGACTTGATGACCTTCTGAGGTCTCTTCCGGTTCTATGATTCTATGACGGAGCCAAAGAGAAATTACTTACCTCAGGACTGTATTCTCCTTGATTCTTATTTCATTTGCCTCTGGTGTCCTTGTTGCAGATGTTACTAATTCCTCATCTGTAGGACCCTATTGCTTGGAGTATCACTGCCTGTTGGAAGGTTGCTAGCATTTCAGACAAACACAGCTTCTGGTTTCTCCAGTTGCCAACTGTCAGTTTCCATTCAAGGAGCACACAAACAAACTACAGACCAGGGGAGTGACAGCCACAGCAACCCAGATATCTGAAATGTGCACATTCGCACACTGGCTTAGGGGATTTTGGCCAGGGGCAGGGGCTGTCTGGCCAGGTGGAAGAGTGAGAGGGTGGGGGTGTAGACATGAGGTAGAGGGGCAGGGGGCACTTACTTGTTTGCGTGCCGTGTTGCAAGCACCGTGTAATACGTCTGCGGCTCCTATTCCCTGGAAGCCCCCAGGGAAGTGTTTCCTGGGGGACGAAAAAGGGCGCTGCACACAGACCATTTTGGCTGCTCATTTCCTGCATGCAAAGGGAAGGAAAAGAGCTGCGTACCGAGACATTTTTTGTTCCGCTTCTTCCCCTCACCCCAGGAAACTGGTGCTAACGCTCCAGTCTTATGGGGGGGAGTGGAGAAGAGAGACGTAAAGTTGTAGTACCAGCACAGGCTCCCTGCTGCGGAGAGAGCAGGGGTGGGGTTGAGTTGAGGATCCAGAAAAGCCATAGGTTTCTAACCCCTGGGCTATGTATCATACCTACTCCTGCACCAACCCCTTGGCCTGAGCCTCCTCCCGCAACCCAAACCCCTGCTCCAGTCCTACGTTCATGGCTCTCCATACAATTTCCCTTCCCAGCTGTGGCCCTCAGCCAAAAGGTTTGCCCACCCCTGCATTAGTGTGTAGTGGGCAAGGTACGAACACAAGGGTATACTCTGTCACAGAGGGAAGTGGATGGTTTACCTTTAAAAACTAACATGCAACACATTACAGCAGTCTTGTATCTGCCATGAGCTGTCAAAAATACATTATTTTAATGTAATCAAAAATCCTCCAGGAAGTGTCCCAAATCCACATAATGTTCTCTACTGCTAATACATTTCACTCAGGACCTCTACAGGAACTGTGTGTGAAAACACATGTACCCAGCCATCTCCCACTTGGCTTCATGATGGAGGAGACAGTAATACATAAGTTATTCCAGATGAATCACCCCTTAATAAAAGAATGCCTGAAGCAAGGTGGGTGAATCTGATTTGGGTAATACTATGGACAATTAAAAATGCCTCCACTTTTCTGATCAAACCCAGGGGTGAATTGCTACTGTCAGGCGCTATTTGGAGTATGATAAAAAACAATGGATTCCCCATATCACATGCTGTGTACAAGCCAAAAATATTGCCGTTACCTCACTTAAGAGATCCTACCCACACTGTAGCCAATGAACAAGAGGTGTCTGGGTTATGTTGGTGGTCAACAGCTGCATGGAGATGTCACCTGCCTTTCTATGGGCAGGAAGTAACAAGCTGCTTCTAGCCATAGGGAAGCGGGGAAGTTGGCGGGGAAGGAGGGGGGAAGAGATGACCTCTGCAAAGACATAGGCCAAGTCATTCTTACCTCCCACCTCCACCCCATGGCTGGAAGCCCTTCTCTCCTACTCAGGGCTGAAAGGTTGCTGCTGGCTCTATTCTGGTGTTAACTCTCACAGACATCTGGGGAGAGTGGGCCTATGACCGTGCACACCCCCCAAGTTGTCTCAAGAAGACACAGTGTCAGCTACCAGGAAAGGCAGATCCATCCAGAGGTCCCAACCAGGCATATGTGGGGAGTTTGCATGCGTGTCACCTCTCCCCATACAAACCTTCAAGATAAGATGGTAAATAAAAAGATTCCAGCTCTTCAGTGATAGAAATGGAGCTGTGCAGTATTTCTTTTCAACAAGGGCTCAGTCAACTTGATGTTAATTTGAATGTTTGTACTGCATAGTTCTGATTGAGGTATTTATGTACCTTTAAGTAGAGTCACCATATTACCATATGTTGACTGTTGGACACCTGGTAAAATTACTCAGAGTCCAATGAGTTCAACAGCAATCTCATTTAAATCAATTGGAGCTACAGGCCTAAATACCTTTGCAATCCTGCACCTAATGGATAAAACTCTTGCTGATATCAGTGGGAAGAGAGGGAGACTGTGGATAAATCCCTGTAATATTATCACTTTCATATAACTTTGTATTAAGATCTTGTCCTTTTAGATATATCTTTAAGTGTTCTTATAGAATCTCTGTAATATTTCTCCTATAACTTTGTATTAAGAGAAACTTTCCTTTATAGATAGATCAATCTTGTAAGAAAAAAAATGTCTTTTGAGCTCTCCCCTTTTCTTGATTGTCCTGTTGAAATGAATGAGGTGTGAATGAAGAATGAAAGGGGAGCACCTCCAGCAGCAGTTGCAAGGGTGGAGAAGGTCTGGGAGCCAGACCCAAGACAATACCTGTAAAGTGAGCTCATTAAGAAGACTGGACATACAGAGGCCTTGGGAGTCAAGCAGCAAGTGCCTGCCCTTGGAAGAACTCTCGCTGAAGCAGCATTAAGAAAGGCAAGGTGATGCCTAATTGGTTGCATGAGCAGGATAAATATGAGGCATCTTGCAGAGGGACCCCGGGTTTTCATCTTGTCAGTATGGGAGCATCGATCCAGATTGGCAGAAGCCCGGCTCCACCCCTCCCCCATCTAACTCACCTGGCCAGTGCAGTTAGGGGGAGCAACTTTTGGTAACAAGATGGAGTGTGCCTGTGTGTGTGAGAGAGAGTCCATGAATGTAATGTGTTATATGCATATAAGTATTGCTTGATCTATGTATGTTCAATAAATGTGGCGTGTTGCCTTATCCCTCTGAAAAAGATCCTGGGTTCTTCTTTTAAGCACAAGACTGCTGCTGAGCACTGCTGAAACACTCATCCCCTCTCAGAGGCCACAGCTGCCACAACAGCTCTTCTTCCAAGGACATTACAACTTGACAGACCCACACTTAATTTGTCAGGCAATCCCAGTGAAAGAAACCAAGCTGTGGACCCTTTTGTCAGAGTTCTGAGTGAGCCCAGGATTCATAGCCACTATGACTCAATGTCAGACATAGCTCGTACCCCCAGAAACGGCAGCCCCAAACATGCCCATGTGCAGCTGCCCCACAATCCAGAGGACGAGAGAGAAATAACACGAATTGTTTGTTTTGACATACAGTGCACAGTATGTGTTCATTTTTTTGATTGTATTCTTTGGTATATATGGTTGTGCCAATTTCCTTCAACAATTTGATCTGAGGAAGTGGGTCTGACCCACGAAAGCTCATCACCTAATAAACCATTTTGTTAGTCTTTAAAGTGCTACATAGTCCTGTTTTTTGTTATAGCAAGTAGACACCTTTTACAGGATCTGTGCTTAATGATTCCATGAAAGGCACTGCAGGCCCATATTCAGGGGGTTTGCAACGGGTGCGAAAGCACTCCCTTCCCCTCATGGTTTCCCAAGTAAGTATGCTTTGGCTGGCCTGGGGAAGGCAGGAGTGGCATGCTGCCTGAGTCTCCTCCCCCATGTTCTGGCAGGCCGGGGGAAAGCTGGGGCTGATTTCCCTGCTTACTTGGGGGACCACAGGGTGTGCATTCACACCCTTGTGGTCTGCCTTTACAAAAAAGCACCCATGCACAGAAATTCATGAGTACAGGCCTGCATTGTCAAAATATGCCCTTGTGTCTGTTCACATTACTGTCCCAGGGATGGCTTAACTTCAGAATCTGTTGAGAGAACAAGAACATGCAATCTTTATAAGTAGATGTGGAGCATGGTGCTTCAGAGCAAATCTTCAATAGTACTGGAGAATGCACTACCCGGGGGTCTGTAATTGCCATGCTGCCTGCCCGTAATAATAGGGAAAGCGAATCAGGGCAGCTGCAAGGAGTAAATGAGACACTTGTCTAAACAAATCCAGGATGTTCCTCTCAGAGTTTTCTGAGCCATGGTGACAAGAGATGTAATTAGGGTTAGATGCCAACTGCAGGGCTCGACAAACTGGGCCCACACTTGGAACACCGCAGCCAGGGAGGGGTGCTGTAAAGGGCTTGGGCGACCACTCGCTGGCTGAGGTGGGACTTCACTTGGACCCCAACATGCGGACTTCTCCTCTCCAGCCCCACATATTCACTTCAACACGCAATCCCCCGACACATAGTGGCTCGCGCGCACGCACACACACACACAGTTTGTGTCTCACAAATACACACTCTCCATCATGTGCACACACATACACTTGTATTATCATTATTACTGCTTGTGGAAGTTCCATATTAACTACAGGTAATGGCCAGGAATGATGGAAGGAGGAGCCCAGAGTAACCAGGGGTGAAAAGAGGGTGTCAAAATTCAAGTTTGCCCAACACATCATTTTCACTAAGGTAGGCCCCGTTAAATGTTAAATACAATAAGGTTTCGATAAGACTAAAGTGAAGGTGAAGAGTAATTAGTCTGAACAATATCTGATGTGCTTCTCTGCATTAGAGAAGTGTTTCAAGATCCTCACTGAGTTCAGTGCTCCATGATGGAAGGTTCTATAAAGAGTCAGAGCCTAATAGAAGAACTGGCAGCAGGCCAAAAGGAGAAAATGGAAATGCCACCGATAACTTTTAATAAGAACGGCCATACTGGGTCAGAACAAAGGTCCATCTAGCCCAGTGTCCTGTCTGCTGACAGTGGCCAATACCAGATGCCCCAGAAGGAGGGATCACAACAGGTGATCCTCATGTGATCCACTGTAACCCACCTCCAGAGAAACAGAGATTAGGGATACCATTCCTACTGTGGCAACCATTTCTGATTTAGCTAGAAGCCATTTGAATCACAGAAGCCATTTAAGCTCCTTGCTTCTGCACCTATGAACTCTCCTTCACCCCATGTGGAAAAGGCCAGAAGGATGAGCTATTGGAATGCGTTAATTGAGCTGTTTGAGAGAGAGCTCTCACTCCCTGCTACCTCCCTCTCCTTCTACTGAGAACAGTTGCTCTTCTGAGTTTAATCGATTATTTCTGCAATTGGATGCCCTGACGTCAGACTTGTTTGGTTAAGGGTATAAAGTACTAGGATTGATTTGTATTAGCAGCCTTACTTGCTGGGGTCGTGTTTGGCTCACTTTGTGCCTTATTGATCAATACAGCTTTTATTAGCCGCCTAACCACAGAGGAGTATTTTGCTTCAACACTACCCATCCTGGCTAATAGCCATTGAGGGACCTAACTTCCATGAATATATCTAGCTCTTTATAGAACCCTGTCAAAGTTCTAGCCTTCACCACATCCTCTAGCAAGGAGTTCCACAGGTTGACTGTGCACAGAATGAAGAAAAACTTCCTTTTGTTTGTTTGAAACCTGATGCCTATTAATTTCATTTGGTGACCCCTACTTCTTATATTATGGCAATAAGTAAATAACTTTTCCTTATTCATTTTTTCCACACCAGTCATGATTTTATAGACCTCTATCATATCTCCCCTTAGTCTCCTCTTTTCTAAGCTGAAAAGTCCAAGTCTTTTTAATCTCTCTTCATATGGGACCCGTTCCAAACAACTAATCATTTTTGTTGCCCTTTTCTTAACCTTTTCCAATGCTAATGTATCATAGAATCATAGAGCTGGAAGAGACCTCAGAAGGTCATCAAGTCCAGCCCCCTGCTCTAGGCAGGACCAATTCCAACTAAATCAACCCAGCCAGGGCTTTGTCAAGCAGAGACTTAAACACCTCTAGGGATGGAGACTCCACTACTTCCCTAGGTAACCCATTCCAGTGCTTCACCACCCTCCTAGTGAAATAGTTTTTCCTAATATCCAACCTGGACCTCTCCCACCACAACTTGTTCTGCCATCTCTCACTACTGAGAATAGCCTTCCTCCGTCCTCTTTGGAACCTCCCTTCAGGAAGTTGAAGGCTGCTATCAAATCCCCCCTCACTCTTCGCTTCTGCAGACTAAGCAGACCCAACTCCCTCAGCCTCTCCTCATAGGTCATATGCTCCAGCCCTCTAATCATTTTGGTTGCCCTCTGCTGGACCCTCTCCAATGTGTCCACATCCTTTTTGTAGTGGGGGGCCCAGAACTGGACACAATACTACAGATGTGGCCTCACCAGAGCCAAATAAAAGGGAATGATGACATCTCTGGATCTGCTGGCAATGCTCCTCTTAATGCAACCTAATATGCCATTAGCCTTCTTGGCTACAAGGGCACACTGTTGACTCATATCTAGCTTCTCATCCACTGTAACCCCCAGGTCCTTTTCTGCAGAACTACTACTTAACCGGTTGGTCTGCAGCCTGTAACAATGCTTGGGATTCTTCCGTCCCAAGGACTCTGTTGAATCTCATCAGATTTCTTGTGGCCCAATCCTCCAATTTGTCTAAGTCACTCTGGCCCTCAAGCATATCTACCTCTCCCCCTAGCTTACTGTCATCTGCAAACTTGCTGAGGGTGCAATCCAGCCCCTCATCCAGGTCATTAATGAAGATATTGAACAAAACCCGTCCTAGAACTGAACCTTGGGGCACTCCGCTAGAAACTGACCACCATCTTGACATCAAGCCGTTGATCACTACCCGCTGGGCCCGGCCTTCTAGCCATCTTTTTATCTTTTTTTTTTTTTTAGATGAGGCGACCACATCTGTACACAGTATTCAAGATGTGGGCATACCATGGTTTTATAGAGGCAATAAGATATTCTCCATCTTATTCTCTATCCCTTTTTTAAATGACTCCTAGCATTCGGTTTGCTTTTTTGACTGCTACTGCACACTAAGTGGATGTTTTCAGAGAACTATCTACAGTGACGTCAAGATCTCCCTCTTGAGTAGTTGTAGCTAAATTAGTCTCCATCATATTGTATGAATAGTTGGGATTATTTTTCCGATGTGCATTACTTTACATTTATCAACTTTAAATTTCATTTTCCGTTTTGTTGCCCAATCACTTCCTTTGATGAGATCTTTTTTAAGCTCTGCACAGTCTGCTTTGGTCTTAACTATCTTGAGCAGTTTGGAATCATCTGCAAATTTTGCCACCTCACTGTCTACCCCTTTCTCCAGATCATTTATAAATAAATTGAATAGAATTGGTCCCAAGACAGACTCTTGCGGGACCCCACTAGTTACCCCTCTCCACGCTGAAAATTTCCCATTTATTTCTACCCTTTGTTTCC